CTTTAGGATCCCTAAACCCTAAACCCTAAACCCTAAACCCTAAACCCAAGAACTACTCGCACCTGGCTGGGGAAGGAGTCGGAAAGGCAGAGCTTGGCATCTGCCGGCATGGAGGAGAATGTGCAGTGGAGGCCGTCGGAGTCGCCAATGGGCATGCCCACCTTCTAAACCCTAAACCCTAAACCCTAAACCCTAAACCCTAAACCCTAAACCCTAAACCCTAAACCCTAAACCCTAAACCCCAACCCCGAAGGAGCGTTGAGGCAGGACTTGCAAGCTCTGACACCTACACGATCTCCCCCGGCCTTGTGCCGGAAGGTGTTCACCTGCACGATCTTGACACCTGGATTGTACGCCTTGATGACATCCATGTTCCTTGGCAACTTCTTGGAGCTATTTCTCGTTGGACACCAGGGGGCTGCAACAAGAACGCAATGTGGGATAGGGTTCGAGACATACACTCTTCTGTGGGGACGCGGGACTGCACGATGGCTGACGAGGGTGCTTGGAAGAAGCTTTCGATCAACCCTCGATGTGAGGCATCGCCCTCTATCACACTCCTAAACCCTAAACCCTAAACCCTAAACCCTAAACCCTAAACCCTAAACTCATGCCACCCGGCTTCTTCTTCAGAATCTTGACGGCTGTGGGATGGAAAAAGGCAGCCAAGGTGAACTCGGCATCCAAGGTGGTGAAGCCTTTGAAGTTCCTCTGCGGCAGAGGACTCACTTTTAGGTTCATGGGTAGTTATGACCGGGGCTATGAGAATCTCTGTTTACAAGCTACAACCGTATTGCGCTACTTATCACCCGACTTATACACACCAACCTTCAAGCGACTAAGCGAATTATGGATTCATGGCTGCTTCTGAGGACACACCAGCCTTGGAGGCACTGCACATATACCTGAAGCCTCTCATACCTTGGAGGTTCGCGGTACCTAATGAGCCAACGACAGCTGTACGTATAACCCAATTGTAGCCCTGTTCGGGCACTTAAACGGCTTCTGAGCCCATGAACCTCCAAGTACAGTACCAACCCCAAAAGGCACTGCATTAGAGTCTCCAGGCATGGAATTGTCTTGCCGCAGGCTTAGAACTGGCCCGGGGCATGACAGGCAACAGCCCTAAACCTGTTTCTTACGACTCGGGGCCAACGAGAACAGACCTATCTCATTCCAATTCACCTGCGCAGACTGTCGAACAAAGCCATCAAGAAAGCCCCAGGGTCAGGCGCGATCGGAGGAGTTTCTGGAACTCCGAGACCCGATCCATCTCTTGCCGCAGTGCAGCAGCTTCCTCCTCGGTGATGTCAATCTTCACCACCTGAGATTTGCAATAATTTGCATCATGAAGAATCTTGGGTTCGCACATCGTTCCCCGCCTTGGATCGGTAAGGTTTCAGCTCGCGCTTGACTGCGGGGATGTACTCGATGTCCTCTCTTCAAAGCTGCTTCATGCTTTGGTCGGTCCAAAAGGCAAAACCCATCATCGGCTGATGGTTCGTGCACCGGTTTTCTGTGCAGCTTTAGGGTTTTGGGTTTAGGGTTTAGGGTTGAGGGTTTAATGTTTAGGGCTTAGGAGCTTCTCCATGGGACCTCAGCCATACTATTGAGCCACTGCGGCTATGACATCTTGTTTTATCAGTACTAAAACCCTAGACCCTACGACCTCGAAACTGCATCTAAGCACTACAAAGGGATAACACACTGCATCTAAGTACTGCAAGGGATAATACACTGCATCTGAGCACTGTTAAGGGATGCTACACGAACCGAACCACCAAGTTATTCCGTCTGCCCACGCGTGGTCCTTAAACCCTAAACCCTAAACCCTAAACCCTAAAGTGGTCCTTCTTAAGCGTCTCCAGGAAGACCGGGAAGTAGCTCTGCATCTCAGGGCTCATGGTATAGTTCTCCACGATGTCATTCCTGGAAGTTTAGGGTTTAGGGTTTAGGGTTTAGGGTTTAGGGTTTAGGGTTTAGGGTTTAGGGTTTAGGGTTTAGGGTGTAGGGTTTAGGGTTTAGGGTGACTACAGTAAAGAGGCCACGATCACTGCATTATAACAACCGTACCCTTTTTGGGGTCGGGCACTGTAATTATAAGGGAACCTTGAGCTAAAAAAAGGTACCAAGACATTAGGGTCTAATATAGGGGTCGGAATAGCTACTAGTATTATCTTCGTAGGGGCCCTTTATAGTTATACGATAGTACCCCCCCTAAACCCTGTTCTAGTTATTCATGTCCTTATATTACAGGTGTAGACAGAAGAGATTCTGGAAGGCGATGCTTACTCACAGTTCTTCATAGGGGTCATAGCACCCCCAATTTTACTATTAGAATCCCCATTAAGGACTTGTTAGTATAAGGGGGAGCATCCCAACCTTTAGGTGTAGACAGATGAGATTCTGGAAGGCGATGTTCTGATCCAGGGCCTGGTTGAACATGCCCTCGACCTCCACGAGCCTCGAGGATTCGAGCGTCTTGGGACTTCAGGGGGTTTTAGGGTTTCAGGGTGTTAGGGTGTTGGGGTGTTAGGGTTTGGGGTTTAGGGTTTAGGGTTTAGGGATCTCAACACCACAACCCCCCTTAAGCCTCAAGGCCTTTCTCGTGAGACCCGAGAAACCCGAGCACCCAACCGTGAACCCTGCATCCTCAAACCTTCACGTGCCTGGGATGTGGCGCAGCACAATCTTCCTTCGAAGGCGCCGTTCGGCTGACGACCCCCTGTCCTGCACGGTTTAGGGTTTAGGGTTTAGGGTTTAGGGTTTAGGGTTTAGGGTTTAGGGTTTAGCGTTTAGCGTTTAGCGTTTGGGGTTTAGGGTTTAGGGTTTAGGGTTAGGGGCTTCGGACTTTGCTACTACAAAGGAGACTGGGCCCACGAAGGACCTATGTAGAGGACCCCAACACCTCTAACCAAAGCCTAGTATCAAAACACCTGCAGCCTAAGATGTCTGCGATTCACACACCTGGAGGCCGCAAGGGGTGCCGGCATCAGGATGCTTCGGCGACGCAGAGCGAAACCAGAGTCCTTAACCGTATACCCTAAGCTTAGGGGCACAACCCTTAACCCGAAACCCTAAAGCCCAAACCCTAAACCCTAAACCCTAAACCCTAAACCCTAAACCCTAAACCCTAAACCCTAAACCCTAAACCCTACAGGGAACTACTTATATAAACGCCGATGTAGGCACAGGGAGCCCCCTAGGGTGCCGAAGCTGAGCCTGTTGTGAACTCTACGAGGTCCTGGGAGTGGAAGGTCCGTCGGCGCTGCCCTTGGGTTTGGGGTTTAGGGTTTAGGGTTTAGGGTTTAGGGTTTAGGGTTTAGGGTTTAGGGTTTAGGGTTTAGGGTTTAGGGTTTAGGGTTTAGGGTTTGGGGTTTGGGGTTTGGGGTTTAGGGTTTAGGGTTTAGGGGTGGTTTAGGGGTTTGGAGTTTGGGGTTTAGGGGCTCATGCACAGGCAGCTTTTGGATTTCGGGGTTTCATAATCAAGTGTTACTGTAGGGTGCAGGGTGTCCTTAAATGAGAGGGCCCTTCGAAAGGGCCAGAAACAAGAGGCAAGAAGGACAATATTAACAAGCCCTGATGCTCCGTGCGCCACCCCGGAGACATGCAGCGGTAGTTATCACTGAGGTTCTAAGCGGAGTAAACCCGCCGTATTTTGGGGCACCTCCGATCCCATCTTTCTGGGAGGAATAGTCTAGCAGCAGCCCGGTTGGCTAAATAATACTACGGGTAGTACGTACATATATATGTATAACATGAATATGTAGGGTTGCTCTGAGATAATGTTGGCAATCATTCCTGCCCCCCGTGTTGTCCATGAACCCCTCCAGACACTCCAACGTCCCATACTTGAGGGGATGGGGTTTAGAGTTGTGGAATTAGGGTTAGGATTTGGGATTTAGGGTTTAGGGTTTAGGGTTCAGGGTTTAAGGGATACTTGGGAGGTTTTTACGGTTCAGCGTTTCGGGTTTAGGGTTCCCTAGGGCAGTTATCAATATGCTTATACTTATGCAAACTGTAGTTATAACCAAATCTAGGGAACTTCTAACCCTACTTCAAACTGCCCGTGAACCTCCAAGTAGTGGGCATCTGTCTGGCTAAGCTGCCATGGCGGTGTGCCGATTGTGGCACTCCCCAACACACGTGGGAGCGCAAAGGGAAGCAAGACCCAGAGCTGCATGGCGAGGGGAATCTCCTTTCGTAGGCTGCCCTAAACCCCAAACCCCAAACCCTAAACCCTAAACCCTAAACCCTCTCAAGAAGGCTTACCTTAGATTCACGCTTTATAGGGTTTTACACTCTCAAAGGCTATACTTTAAGGGTGAGGTCTGAGTACATGTCGGCACCCGACCCTACTCTCATGCGCTTCAGCTGTCCTGCGGCGGAAAGTCCAGGAATGCCCAGCGCACAGGCGACACTCTACAAACTTGTGCCAAATGCTGATCACATGCCAAGGCTGCGGAACGTTGTTTTCATGAGGGGGGGGGGGGGGGGGGGGGGTTTCCATATAGATGAGAGGCTCACTTAACTAATCCAACCATTTGCTGGCAAGGCCCTTCACAAGCTCCTCAACCCTGAGCCCTAAGCCCTCAGTCCAAAATTCTCTTCGCCCTCAATCCTAAATCGCTGGCCTCCCCCTGTCCTGGCAAACTAGCAAATCCCACTTCTGAGGTAGAGGAAGGCCGCCCCAAGCACCGAAGGACCAATCTCTGCTCATCAGGCTGGTGAGGGTATCACGTGCGCATCGCACAGGCCGATTCTCTCACGACCGAAAATTTCTGCAGTAAACACCGCAACGCCGAACCTTAGCCCGGAACTACCCCAAAAAGCCCCCTTACCAACCCTCATTACAAGCCCTGCAAGATCGCGAAAAAAGCCCTGTCAGCCAGAAAGCAACGTTTAGGGATTAGGGTTTAGGGTTTGAGGTTTAGGGTTTAGGGTTTAGGGTTTAGGGTTTAGGGTTTAGGGTTTAGGGTTTAGGGTTTAGGACCTGGGGCCTGGAGGAGGGACACCAGGCGAGCCCAGAAAAGTTCGGGATCGAAGCCGGGATCACGGAAGTGAACCACCTCGGAGCACTTTTCGGGCTTGGGTTTAGGGTTTTGAGTTTAGGGTTTAGGGTTTAGGGTTTAGGGTTTAGGGTTTAGGGTTTAGGTTTTGGGGTCTAGGGGTACTACGGAAACTGTTCTTGTTGTGTTTGTTGCTACTCTTGATATGCCCATTGTTCGGGTAGAGGATCAGGGTTTCAGGGTTGTGGACAACAGCTTCATCACAAGAATGTGCAGTCTTGTCGGAACCTTGCGTGTTCCGGGCTTGTATTACGGGCGACCTGCGAAAAGGTTGGCCGGAAGAACCAGTTGGCGGAATGAATCAAAAACACAAGGAGAAAAGCAAGACGATGAACATCTGAAGAGGAGATTGCACCAAGTTCTTCTGCAAGGTATAGGGTTGGGATGTTCCCCCTCATACCAACAGCCCTTAATCGGGATTTTTGTAGGGAGTACAACAATCCCTATTAAAGACTGTTACAAATCGGGGGAACATCCCAAGTATAGGGTGTCATGCTTGCGACCTTGGACCGAACATGCCCCACGAAGCTTTGTTGCACAGCCTCGTCTTGTGAACACTGCGAGTCGGCTTGACGAGTTGCCTCATCCTCCCCTAAACCCTAAACCCTAAACCCTGAACCCTAAACCCTAAACCCTAAACCCTAAACCCTAAACCCTGAACCCTAAACCCCAACGACCTTCCACCCTTCGCTTCGACGCCACAGCTGAGAGCCTTCAAAACACCGCAACACCTCCCCATCTTTCCAAGATCCCTCAGCACCCTAAACCCTCAACCCTGAGTAAGCCCTTACTTGAACCCTGAACCCTAGACCCCAACCCCTCCAAACAAGACCCTCGAAACACCCTCAAACAAACCCTCAAACAAACTCCAAAAGACCCCAAAAAACCCTCCCAACAACCCTCGAAAACCTTCCAAAAGACCCTCCAAGAAAACCTTCCAAAAACCCTCCAAAACACCTCGAAGGACCTCCAAAATCACCCCCCCCCTCAACAAAAAATCTGAGCAAAAATAATTCCAAAAAACCTTCAAAAACAAACTCCAAAAGAAAACTCAGAAAAGCCCTCAGAAAAAAAAATCCTCAAAGAAAAACTCTAAAACCCAAAAAGCCTAGACCGTTAAAAATATTTTCTGGGAGCCTTCGTGGGTGCTCTAACCCTAATCCCTAAACCCTGAACCCTCCCTAAACCCTAAACCCGAAACCCGAAACCCTAAACCCTAAACCCTAAACCCGAAACGAGCCTCCGTGGGTGCTCCGGTCAGCTCCAACAGCGCCTCCGAGGTCTCCCCGCCGCTGATGAAGCGGTAGGCGCCGTGCGCTTTGGCGTACGCCTTCTCCTTACTTCGTTTAGGGTTTAGGGTTTAGGGTTTAGGGTTTAGGGTTTGGGGTTTAGGGTTTAGGGTTTAGGGTTTAGGGTTTAGGGTTTAGGGTTTAGGGTTTAGGGTTTAGGGTTTAGGGTTTAGGGTTTAGGGTTTAGGGTTTAGGCCTCAGGGCTTGGGGTTTGGGGTTTGGGTTCAGGGTTTAGGGCTTAGAAAGAACGATGCATGAATCTGGAGCCCGACATTGGCCTGGCAGGGCGCCAGGCATCGTGCAACGAACGTCCATGACAAAAACCACTACAACCCAAGCATCCCGTACCCAGAGACTCCAAAACCCCTTAATTAAGGAATATACCTTAAATCATATTAGGGTTCCTATTATAACTTAAGGTATATTCCTTAATCAAGGGGTTTTGGAGTCTCTGGGTATACTGTACCGACGAAGGCTCAATCAGGGACACCCAAAGCTGGCAGCGAGCGCAGCGGCCGAAAGCCAGGCCACTGCCATCGGCAGTGGGGCGCCGCTGCTTGGTGGTGGTCGGGAAATGGTCGTCCACCAAACTGGCTTCAAGGGCTGGCAGGCAGAGGTTCGGAAGAAATTGGCAGCCCTTTTGGTGCGACATGTAAGACCTAGGCCTATATGAGTCTATAGGTTGGGGGTACTATATTAAGGACTGTTAGTAACGTTAGTACAAGGAGAAAATCCCAACCTATAAGTACAAGAGCATCGCAGAACATCTGGATTTCGGCCGGGCACAGGGAGGTCCAGCGGCCGTCCAAGAAGAGGCGGACCTCGTGGCATCCACTCTCCGCGCCAAGGTTCCTAGACTCTTAGAACCTCCATAAAAAAGAATACTTTTTCATATCCTCTTGGGTTTTATATAAACAAGAATAAGAAATCATGAAAACAATATGTCTAATACCCTCTTGGGTTCTATATAGACAAGAATAAGAAATCATTCCCAAAGGGGGATATAGGTTCAGGTTGGGCAGCAGCTTGCACATCAAGTCATGGCGCTCGGCCACAACCTTGGTTACTGTCCATTCGGATCTATGCTCCCACGCGCACACACACACACACACACACACACACGTCTCAAGCACCATGACTGCGAATCCGAACTGTGCTCCAAAAACAGCTGGGGAACTGCGAGAGCGCTCATGAACCAGCAGTCGCCCACACCTCCCTGCTGGACATCAGCAGGTCTGAAGCCTTCGTCTCGCACGACCGTCCAGCCCCCCTCGCCCGTTGCAGGGAAGCGCTTCCACTGCAGCTCCAGCGCCGCAAGCGTCGAACCCTCGTCGGCAAACTCAAAGAAGCGGCAGGCACGGAGCGCGCACGCGTAGTAGGGCCTCCCAAAGGTCGGGCCCTTCCGCTGCACCCGGCGCAGCTGTGCCGGCTGCCCACAGCGGCAGAGCATGCCCTCCTCTGGCCTCAGGGTCTTGTGGCTCTCCGAGAGCGCGGCCCGGAAGACGTCCATGCCAACCCGGTCCTCGCGCCGGCCATCTACCGCCCGAGGCCCGGCCGGGAACTCGGCATCCTGGAAGGCCCGGGTGCTCCGGGCAGCCACCATCCTGACTTCCCCACAAGAACCAAGAGAAAAATGGTTCAACTTTATGGGTTCCGAATAAAAAAGGAAACCCAAAAAGTTTATAAAGTTCAGCTGTTCGAGAAGTAAGCATCTGCTGCCAGACCCGGTGCTTCTCTCGGAGCCGCGGATTGCGGTCCGGCACCTTCCGTCGAGTGTTTCGTGTCTCTATAGGCTTGGTGGGAACCCACCCCCCTAAACCCTAAACCCTAAACCCTAAACCCCAAACCCTAAACCCTAAACCCTAAACCCTAAACCCAAAATTTAAAAAAAAATAGAATGAATCCAAGGCACGTCGTCGTCGCCCGAAACAAGCTGCCAGCCGGCCTTCTCCACTTGCGCCATTGCCGGGGCGCAGAAATCCGAACGTATGAAGTTCGCATGTTGCCATATCCTTCTGTTAATTCTACTCTTCTATTTGTTCTGTTGTTACTCTATGACTCTACTATTCTATTCTGATATCAGTATGTGGGAATACTACGATATGGTTATTGTGGAGTTGAAGTGGTTCTGTGCAAGACATGGGTGCGGCACGTAGGGGCTTAAGGTTTGGAGCGTGGGGAGAGCTTAGGGTGGTTTTTGTTTCGAACTGCAGTCGGCGAACCAGCCCTAAATCCGAAATCCTAAACCCAGCACAATACACAACCAGGCGAATGAGCCTGTAGCATGATAGCGGGCGAAACTGAACACAACAGACCTTGGAACTTGCTGATGATCCCCCTAGAACCATACATCAAAGAAATATGCTTGTTCCCTTATTGTTTATGAAATTGTGTGTAACCATATATATATATATACTTACTTACTTACTTACTTACTTCTTAAAGAACTATCTGCTGATTTTGACTTGTACTTGTGTATTTGGAGGAGTCGGTAACGGCTGCCGCAAGACGACCCGAACTTCCTTTGCGTCAGACTGCGTCTTCAATACCCCCCGAAGCCTCAAGCCCCAAAGGCCCTAAACCCTGAAAGGGGTTTGGGGTTTGGGGTATGGGGTTCGGGGTTTGGGGTTTGGGGTTTGGGGTTTGGGGTTTGGGGTTCGGGGTTTGGGGTTTGGGGTTTGGGGTTTGGGGTTTGGGGTTTGGGGTTTGGGGTTTGGGGTTTCGAGTTACCCTCATTGCGGGCTTCGATCGTAAGGATTGTCGCACTGCGGGGTGCAATTGAGGATGTAATTGAGGGTACCCCCCGATTTTGGGAGGTACCCATATCAGGAAAGCTACTGTTTGCAGTCTGTTCATGACCAATCCGAAGCCCTCAAGAACTCAAACACCCAACAGAATCCTAAAACCCTGAACCCTAAACCCTAAACCCTAAACCCTAAACCCTATTCGGCAAAGTTTCGGGGCCTCCGAGAGGGAAACCCGGAGCTCGGCACACTCGGCCCGCAAAGCAGAGGCCTGGTTTAAAAGTTTGGGGTTTAGGGTTTAGGGTTTGGGGTTTGGGGTTTAGGGTTTAGGGTTTAGGGTTTAGGGTTTGGGGGCTTCAAGCTGCAGGGTCCCGCCAGCCCTCTGCGGCGGGTTGGTGGGGTTCGGGGTTTGGGGCTTCGGGGTTTGGAGTCCTGCCACCACCACCACCCTCTGGTGCAGTGGTGGGGCTGTGGGTTCAGGACCCTAAACCCTAAACCCTAAACCCTACACCCTAAACCCTAAACCCCTAAACCCTAAACCAATTTAGGGTTTAGGGTTTCAGGAGGGCTGAAGGTAGGGGATGCCATGGTCTGGGGCCCAGGGGGCGGGGAGGACACCGGAACCCTGCCTAAACTCTGCCCTGGAACTAGTTTCCGGCCTGCTTAGGCCGTACCCAACATTTGCGAGGTGCTTGGACTCAGAACTACACCCCGTGCAAGTGCTGAATGAGAGTGGAGCTAAGACGTAAGACTTGGGATCTTCCCCCTGATACTAACAGTCCTGGGCTGACTTCTGAACCCCTCCAAAAAGTTTAACATTTGGGCACCTTATTGTAGTTTCTACAAAACCCAAACAGTTAAAAGACCCAAGAGCCCCAGAAGAAAGCCAAGAGTCCTTCATGGGGATCATAATACCCCCCCATTAGAATCCCTATTAAGGACTGTTAGTATACGGGGGAACATCCCAACGTAAGACCGAAACAGAAGGTACCCGACGCACGCACGCTTTTCGACCCGCCTTGTCCCTTGCTTGGAAATGGCCTAAGCCCTAAACCCTAAACCCTAAGCCCTAAACCCTAAACCCTAAACCCTAAACCCTAAACCTGCGTGCGCTTCTAGGAAAGTTGGGGCTCTAAACCCTGGAGCATCCCACGAGTTCCCGCCCGAAAAAGGGGCCCCCTGAAGGACGGCCTCGTCAGCGGCCCTAGACCTCATGGGTTTAGGGTTTAGGGTTTAGGGTTTAGGGTTTAGGGTTTCGGGTTTAGGGGTTTAGGATTTAGGGTTTAGGGTTGAGGGTTGAGGGTTGAGGGTTGAGGGTTGAGGGTTGAGGGTTGAGGGTTGAGGGTTGAGGGTGGCTCAAGATGCCTGGCTGCTTGGGGCGGAAACTCCAAAACCCTAACCCCTGAACCCAGACGCGAAGAAGAGCCCTAAACCCTAAACCCTAAACCCTAAACCCTAAACCGTAAACCCTAAACCCTAAACCCTCAAGCCAGCTATCTACGCCATAGTTCCTGGGTACCCTGGGCCTAAGGCCCCGTACCATCACAAGAAACCTGAGAAAAAGCAAGAGCCCTAAACCCTAAAACTTGAATACCCCAAAAAAGAAAAATCATATTAAAAACAAACAACACTACAACCGCCTCCCCTTCAAAGAAAATGAAAACTGAAAACATAAGCAAGACATCAGCACACCCCCCCCAAACAAAACAATATAATGAGAAAAGAATGGACACAGCGTCCATCTGAGAAGGCCCCACCCCCACCCAAAGGTTTCGAGAGAAGCAACCACTGGGGCTCCCTGACGCGCCGTCGACCGGAGCCTTACAGAGCAGTGGCTTTTAGGGGCTACTTGGAGCTTTGGCACAGATGGGAGCTTTACGAAAATGGGAGCTTATACGAAAATGGGGGACCCCCAAAATGGACCCCCAGATGGCAGGATTACCTTAATAAGGACCCCCTCCCTAAACCCTAAACCCTAAACCCTGTAAAACCTTTTCGGAAACCTCCAGATGAACGCTGGGCCAAAGTTGGAATTCCGAGCTTCGGGCAGCGTTGGCTCGCGCGGCGCGTTCGTGCAGTGAAGCCATCTGCACGGCTGGGGATTCTAGAGTTTAAGATTTAGGGTTTTGTGTTTTGGGTTTAGCATTTAAGGTTTGAATCTAGGGTTTAGGGTTTAGGCTTTAGGGCTTAGGGTTTAAAACACCCAACAAGAGGCCTAAACCAACAGGCTTGGCTTCGAGAACTCTTCCCTGACTTGCGAACCCGCGCCGCGCGCTGTCCAGCCTCCGCCCGCATGGATGCAAGCCTTGTGCCGGCGTGCGGCGGACTTCGGGGAGGGAAGTTGCGTCTGGGGCTTGGGCTTCAGGTCTTCCGGCTGCCTTCCAGCACAGCGGAAAAAAATCCGAAAGGAAGCGACCTGCTCCGCTACCTGGGAGAGCTGGTGGCCAGGACCCCAGCAAGGAGCCCCCCCCCCGTCTCAGTCCCCGACTCCCTTTCCAAGTCCAAAAGGCCTTGTGCAGGCAGAGTCTGCTCCTTGGTAGCTTACATGGGCATTTCCCGGCTTAGGGTTTAGGGTTTGGGGTTTAGGGTTTAGGGTTTAGGGTTTCGGGTTTAGGGTTTAGGGTTTAAGGTTTAGGGTTTAGGGTTTAGGGTTTAGGGTTTAGGGTTTAGGGTTAGGGCCCCTTGTAGACCCAGATATGACAGAACCCCCTCAAATGAGGGACCCCCAAGAAGCATGCCCTAGCTATCGGAAAGCCCGATGGCGTCGTTGAACCCAAGCAACTCAAGGCTTCGCAGCTCAAGAGACTACACGAGGAGGAACTCCGTAGATTGCAAGGGCGCAACCCGGAAAGCTCAGAACCCTAAGCCCTAAACCCTAAGACCTAAGCCCTTAACCCTCAAACCCCTAAACCCTAAATCCTAGACCCTGAACCCTAAACCCTAAACCCTAAACCCTAAATCCTAAACCCTAAACCCTAAACCCTAAACCTTCCCTCGGGCGCACGCCAGTGAGCGTGAAGTTCCGGGAGTCGCCTGGTGCTACTGGCCAGGAGCAGCTTACTTGGAGGTTCATGGCTTAGGGTTCATAGGGTTTAGGGTTTAGGGTTTAGGGTTTAGGGTTTAGGGTTTAGGGTTTCGGGTTTAGGGTTTAGGGTTTAGGGTTTCGGGTTTCGGGTTTCGGGTTTAGGGCTCAGGGATGAGGGATGAGGCCAGCAACCCCACCAGCCACCTGCAGCCGGAAGCTGGAGGTGTGGCTGCGGATCGCAGACGGGAGCTGCCTCTGCACTTTTTGGGGTTTTTGGGGTTTGGTTTAAGGGTTTAGGGTGAGCCTTAGTAGGGTTTAGGGTGAGCCTTCGTAGGGTTGAGGGTTTGTTGGGGTTTTAGGTAGGACTGAGTTCATAGGATTGAGGGGTCGTTTTTTCGTAGCACCGTTGAGGGGGGGGGCTTTTTGCAGCGACCCCTCGCCCCTACCAGAAGGGAGGAGAAGCGATGCACCCTGGAAACCCTGAAGAAACCCTGAAACCCTAAAACCCTATAACCTTAAAAACCCTGAAACCCTGAAACCCCGAAGCCCGACATCCGTTTGAGATGCTGGGCCCCGCCGCGGCGCGGTTCGGCTGGAGGATCCTCCAAAGGCCGACTCTTCCTCCAAGCTCCGTGAGAAGTACGAGAGTGCCACATGCTTCGTGTTGTTGCTACATCATACTTGCACAGTGCATTGCCTTATGGATCATTATGGTATATGTGCGCTGAGAGGAAAAAGAGGATGCATTCGCTCCTACACAGGAAGTCAGAGACGTGGGAGCAGTGTTCTGGACTTGAGAACATGACAATGAGATTGTGCAACTCGTGCAGGTTT